ATTACGCTTGTTCGTACATTAAACGTATATAAATGAAATCCACGACGTTCGCCACAAGTTCATACGGATGTTATGAATTGTTTCTGTTATTACATTTTCGGCAGCTTTCAATAACTTTGTTCAGACGTCCTCAGGACTTGATCATTCCTGGTTACAAGTTTCTTGATGACATGTTTCATATTCGAATTTATCAGCAATGTTTCAGTAATTCAGGTAGTTCTAACGTACCTCATAATATTCGTTGGATCCACTGGCCATTTCTTGTTCATACCAATATCTTGGTAGTCGGTTTTGTCTGCGGAACGTTGAAGAAACTGTTAAAAGTATAAAGCACCTGTCTGTTCTATATGCTGACCTTGCTTGATATCGTCCAGTTCGCTGATTAAAGGTTTTCTGATTCTTCTCGTCAGAACTTGAATTTGCCGATGAATTGCGCACTAATTACTGAATTTTCTTTACTTTCTTTTCACATGTATCTCGTGGACAAAGTTTAATACCTCGTCAGAAAGTTAGCGTTGTCCCTGAGGATATTTAAAGGACCAGTGCCTTTCCTTGTGAGTGTAATCGAATTTGAGATCCGTCATTTTTTTCTGGGCTGAGTGTTGTTTCTATTTTGGCGACAGGATGTCATATGACACTTAACTTACAAGTGAGAAGAATACTTAAAACTTGCGTCTACTGACATTTCAACTGTAACGTAGCTGTCCATGCTGTGACAGTTAAAGGTTACAGTAGGAATTAAAGCTCATAAACGAAAAGCGCAGTAGAAGAACACATGACTAAAATAAAGCAGAACGAAAGAACTCATTTATGTCTATAATCGTAATATATAGATTTTCTGATATCTAAATGTATGTAAATAGCAATGATTCAAGTAGCCATCGGAGTTCTTCATTCTGCAGAATCTGGTTCTAATCGTTCAGTCTTCCATCCAGGTTGTGAGTAATGATCAACGTGAAGCGTAAGGCAAAACTTGATAGCGCGAAGTACGGTGCATTGCGTTCTCTCCAGCCGCTAAGACCTGCATGAACCATGAAACGGACGGTTATCGAGTCTCTGGTTAAGTTGTTTCGAGCCAATCACCCACTCGGTGGATTAGTTCTTAAAAAGGAGACCCTACAGAGTTTGTGATTTGGACCAGATTTTTTATAGTAACGGACCTGTAAATCTCAGTGACTATGAATATGAATATGCATGTCGATAAACTTTAGAACAGAGGAAAATGGCGTTCATTACTAAATGCCAGAGAGTTTGCCACGTGGAATATGCGAAGTTAGACAGCCTGAACTGACTACACTGGTTGCAGTAAAACTGGATCAGACGGGCATCCAGGTAATTGCAAAGCAAGAGACGCGGTGGCCTTTGAAAGTATTATTTGCGTCGCACAGGAAATACAATGAAAGACTGCTCGCAGAGGTAGTATCTGAAATCATTATGGATGAGGCTCAAATCCAAGCACAAATGACATGACGTCAAAATTGGTGGTTGATATGTAGCTGTCGAAGCTGCTGCAAAGGCAGTAAAGGAACAATTTTATAACACGCTCAGTCTGCAGCTGTAACAGTGTCGAATCCTTGATATCTTGATTGTTCTGGATTTCATTGCGAAGGTGGAAACAAAATGACCTGTACAGATCCATGGGATCATATGGGTATACGGGATGAATGATAAAGCTGAGCGACGAACAGAACTGTGTGAAATGTGCCAACAACATGGTTTCCTCATCACGGAAATGGAATGGAATCTCCCGATGTATCAACAGAAAACCAGATCAGTCGCGGTTCTTGTCACCCGATGTCATGAAGCGTGCCTAGAAAATATCAAAATATACATAGATACTGAATATGGTGACAATCATGGGTGGGAGATAGCCACAGTTACAGTAAATCTCCAGCCCGCGATTAGCAGCCAAAGATTTACCGCAGAGCTTGAATTCGACAACCAGAGGTTTTCCAAGCATATCAGATCACAATAGGTAGAAAATTCGAACATATTGTTGATTGTACAGGCGGTATATCGGTAGAGAAAGTTCGTGGAACATAAAAATCCCAGAGGAGCGACTGAGATGGCATAAAAGACGAAGGATACCATGGATATTTTTAAAACTAAGGTTTGATTAATTAGGTTTAGGAAATTAACTTCTCTAATTGGATGTCCTTTATTTAGTTTCCTATCATGTTAATATATCCATCCCTCAATTCTCCTTTACGACATATCTGATATAGTTCTAAACAGACGATCGTTTTAGTAAAATTGTTTCAAATGCACCAAATGTTCTTACGAAGAGATGGTGGAAAATGTCTGTAACATGTTTCGATAGTTACCTGTTAATTAACTAATTATTTAGAATTTATTTGGCTTCGTTCCTTTTTCAGCAGAAGTGCTATGAGTTCAGTGGTGATAGACGCAATCAAAACACTGATGTTAGTCTTTGTTGTTTTTACTGCTAATCCTTCAGCGGAGCAGCAGTGATCACACCCAATGACTTCAGGACAGACAGCGAGATGACGTAAGCATCAGCACATGCAATTACGGCTGTAGCGACAGAGTCATTTTATAGCAGGCAAATAAAGACCTCAGAGATATCAGCTAACGCTGCCGTCGCAGATTCGGCAGATAGCGTTATGTTGGCTGGAGGTTTTATTGACTGATTATATGCATTGAGTATGATCAATGAATGAAAGTGATGATTTGGACATCGGTCTTTTGGTTGTGTCTCCAATAGTTTAATTCAGATCATGCACATAGATATGGAA